TGTAGGACGGTCTACTTCCGGTATGTGTATTTAGATACGACCAGAAGTACACCGCCCTACACTTTTCTGCACCGGTGCAGGAGGTGCAAGTAAATCAAACGCAGCTTCTATCTCACTCCTGGGTGAAGGTCTCGTACCCGTTGCATTCGAAAACCTACCCGCGTCCAGCATTGCGGTATCTGTCTTATCACGGAACTTGATCCGCTGGAATAACTCGGATACATTTGAGTATGATTGGAACGCAGCCTCAGAGTGCCTATCTGCTGACTGTGATCTGGTCCACCCCTGGCCGGAAATATGTTAACGTCACGTGATCACTAATCTGGCAAACAGGCAGATGGCGACAACCAGGGGGTGCCATTTTCGACCGCTGGTTTACCACTCCAAGTTTACTCAAGCTCGCTGCCCACACTGCGGATCGAACCTGGGTCCGCTGCATATAAAGCAGACACCTTTCTACTATGCTACCGCTTCAGAAGCTGTTTTTGACCACTTGTTTTATACGAGACCCAACAAGTTTCACGTCGTGCGTATAGCTTTACTCTGTTGAGTATTTCACAGTGAACGCACTGAATGCTTCCGATATTCTGTGACTTTCTTTTTTTTTTCAAATAACATATTTGCAGCATTTTAGAAGTCATAAAATATCAGTTTCGTTTTTTTGTTTTTAATATGAAGTGTGTGCCTTCAATGACCCCCGACTTGGATTCAATTTGGTGGTTGTGTCTAAACCTTAGAAAACGGCCCGTGACCACGGAGAAGAGAGTGAGCGCGACTCAAACCGGCCAGTTCTCGTTTGGCGATTTTCGGGCGAAAGAAACCGAATTTCGAGCCGCAAATTCTAATCTGGGTAGTTGGGTTCTCATATGTCGTGTACAACTAAAAACCTCGGCGAGCATAAATACCCTCTCAGTGTCCCTCTAAAGCGCAAGCCTGTCAGTGTCCCTCTAAAGCGCGAGCCCGCGCGCTTGTGCAGTTCATGCAGTGCTTCAGGCTGCGTGCCCGCGCCTGCTGCTTTAGCTTCGCTCGCACTTATGAAGCAAAGTATAGCAGCGTTCCCCAAGTCATCGTGACGGCCTTCGCAAAACCAAGACGGGTGATACCGATGGTCTCGAGATCGACATATGACAAGCGGGCCGCAGCCCCGTTCATGCGAAACATCTAACCATTTCGGGCGCAATATGAAAACCTGGCGACTTCAGAAAAAAAGAATGTCAACAATAGGGTTTTCATACCTGCCATGTGGATGATCTGAGCACTGTAGTAGCCTCCTTTGGTGGACGCGTCTCCACTCCAAAATACCTCGTAGAGAAAATCCGAGTTGAAGTCGTCATGGTGCAGTGGGCACAGGTCTTTTATGTATCTTGTCGACACAACGGCAGTCGTATCGTCTATTTTGTATCTTACTAACGCGAACATCACACAAATCTAGACGGTACAACATTCACAAAGAAATTTTAAGCCTACGAGACAAGTGTTCTTACGTAACCGCTCGCTTCCTGTTTTCCCCAGCTCCCTTCCAGGGTTCGGGAGGGCCAATCTTCGTACGTTTTCTTTTCTTTTGCCTTTAGGGGGCGCTAGTGGCTGGTACAAATTTAAACAAATAGAGATAATGTCTAGAGTGGCTATCTTTATACCACGATAAAATTATAATTTATTGTAAAATTAGTGACAATGACAAATTTTTAAAGCCTCTCCCTTTTCTAGTCCCAGTGTTTTATTTTAAATTCTCCTTTCCTCCCGCGAGTCTTTTCAGGAGCCTAGCCTAGCCGCCTACTCAGCATAGTCAGCCTAGTCTCCTAGTGTTGGCCTAGTGATTCGCGCTCAGTTCCTCAGCGTCCTTAGCATGTGTAGAAATATGTTTTCTAGCCTCCTGTCACTGCTTCAAAGCCAAGGAGGTTAGTGCCCGTCGGTGAGCAACAAGTATTCGTTTTGTGTGACAACTGTAGTTACAAACAAGTGCAATGTCATCGAACGATAAGAAACAAAGGAAGCAGTACATGGAGCCAGGTCAAGACTATGCGATCAGAAAACAAACGAAATCCAACCGAGCGGCGAGGGTTCGAGAAGGAATTAGCCTGTCGGAGCCACCACCTGGTACAAGCTCGAGTTACTTGAGCGATCACTCAGCGGGCGATCTGGACCATCCGGACGACAGCAACGGTCACGCGTCAGGGGATGGAGATCAGGGTTCGCGCCGGTTCTGCAGACTCGACGACTCCAACGAAGTTGAAATGAGCCTTAGCGCCTCAAGCGAAGACGAAGCTACGTCCGACCAAAGCTATGGATCCGATGGCACAAGCAAAGAGAATGCGACATCCGATGACGCGAGCCAAGATGGGCTGAGCGGAAGTGAAACGACATCAAGTTGCAGTTACGATGATGAAGCGAGCCAAGATCGGCTGAGCGGAAGTGAAACAGCCTCAAGTTGCGGTTACGATTCCGAGAGAGAAGAATCCAACTCTGCCGCCAGCGACGATGATGACCAGTCAGACTTTAAGACCTTTGAAGAAATGTGCAGTGGGCTTACTATTCCTGGTCAGGATACGACCCGAGGCCAAGTTTTGTTGTTGATCCTGGCATATGTTATGTCCGCCGGTCTCTCGTGGACGCAGACTGAGGGTCTTCTAAAACTAGTCAACACTCTCTTTGGCATTTTGGTAGCACCAAAATCGAAGTTCCTTTTCCGGAAAGTTTGGAAGCAAAACCAGCGAAGCATGGTAGATTTTCATTTTTTTTTTGCGAGCGATGCTCTAGGGCACTCGGTGTCTGTAAAACTCCCCTCCAAGGCAAGAACATGAGGTGCTCGCAGTGCAGCACTCTGTATAAAGCAGAGGAAATGGTCGCTGATGGGACATTTTTTATCATTTTCAACCTACGAAAGCAACTGCAACACCTGGTGAAAAACTGCAAGGAGGCTCTATGGGACAACATGGAGAAGATTGCACAGAGGTCACATGACATCTTCACTGACCTGACCGACGAAGACCTTGTGAGGAAAGCACGAGAGAAGTTGGGCTGCACAATGCACGATTTGACAGCGAGCTTCAGTACCGATGGATCACCAGTTTTTAAATCCAGCAAAAACTCTATGTGGCCCATTCACATGATGTTGAATGAACTGCCCCCCATTCTTCGGTGGCAAAACCTTTTGCTCGGCGGAATCTGGTTCGGCAAAAAGAAGCCAGATATGTCGCTCTTCCTCAACGGGTTCGTCGGGCAGTTTCAAAGAATCGGCTCACTCAAGTGGAGTTGCTACAAAAATGGACAGGCTCTTTCATCCAAGGTGTATGCGGTGTGTTGCATTGCAGATGCTCCTGCTAGAGCAGCAGTGCTAAATCGGAAGCAATACAACGGGTACTATGGCTGCCCGTGGTGCTACCACATGGGAAGACTGGTTGAAGGTGTGTATTATTTTCAGCAATTGCCCTTTGACCTACAAACCATAAACCTTCATTTTCAGATGCCATAACTCAATTTAAGCCTGTTGCGAAATAGTGTAGTGTTGTCGGGCTCAGAAATTGCTTCTTACCACTGGTGATATGATTGTTTGAAAGGAAAGCTTCTGCTGAAGCATGTGTTTCTCTCATGCCACCCTAACGGTTGGTTCGAGGTTCGAATTGATACTCTGTCGATCAGTGCCATCAGAGTGCACTCAAGGGTGCTTACTGTAGACGTAGTTGACCATAAAATCAACATTGCAGAGCTGGATCCATTGTCTCTGGCTGTGATTGAACCTTCTTGCTATAATAAAATGCGCATGGTTTTCATCTGCATTCATGGGCGTACCAACTGGGGGGCGCTTCCCTCCCCCCCCCCCAGTCTTCAGAGTTGGGGGGGGGGGGGGGGGGCAAGGCATGTGTTTTGCCCCCCCCCCCCCCCCCCTGAAACAGCCGCCACTGGGCAGGGCAAGCACTGGCCGGCGGTGCCCAAGGCATACCTAGGGCACCGCCCACCGGCCCGGGGGGGGGGGGGGGGGAGGTGGGGTCTGGTTTGCCCCCCCACTTAAAAACAAGTTGGTACACCACTGTCTGCATTATGCGGGGACTTAACTGCCATGTTGGTTGCCACTTGTAATCTTGCTCTTCGCACAGGTGCGGGCTGCGCTACTTTCGAATGCATTTGTTGCCGTCGAAGGAACATTCCTGCACTTCGAGCAGTTCTAATGTTCAAATTTGACAAGCACTGACTAATATAAGATTGTTGCCCCAAGGTGGGAAATTTACATCAGTGCTAGACACAAACGAACGGAAGCCAAAATGATTTCGCTGCTGCAACAAGCCATGTTGCATCAGCGAAATCACCGAAGTGGTGAATGTTCACGTTTGTCACTTCTCCACAGTGAGATTAACTGACCTTTGTTGTCACACTGCACTTTTCAATGATTTAGCCTAGTTAACTAGTTCGCTGCTGGAAGCACAAAGGCACGCACTGTCTTAGTCTTAGTTTATAAAATCCAGGATCCACCTCCAATCGTCCGAGGTTAACTTGCCCACCTGAGTAGACCAGGGATCGGCAACAGTTTGAAGCAGCGGGCCGGGTATCTGCGAGCCGGATTTCAGAAAGATGAGGCCGGGAGCCAGATGAAACTGCCTCGCGGGCCGTAGGTTCTTGACCATTGGCGTAGAATTTTAAGCTTTTCGCTCTATGCACAACCAGCACAAAGGCTGAACTAGGTGTCACAAATATGACTGCCCAATTGATGGCTGGTCTAGATTAATACATGCAAATGTTTTTTAACACTTTCATGTCCGAGTAAAAGGATTTGCAAAAAGTTAACTGTACATACCAGATGTTTGGTAGCCCAGATGGTGTCTATTTTGAGCTTTGTGCCAAATAAAACAACAGATTTTTGTGTCAAATAAAACAACAGATTCAAATGAGTCCAAGAATCAATTTGCAATTAAGACTGCGTTTGCAGCTGTGCTTACAAGCCTTTACTGGTATGTTCTAAACAGAGATTAACCCGCAACATCACGGTCGCCAACCGCTACAAAAATGACAAGGGAACAATGCAATGACAAAACTGCCCCTTCAGTATCCTGAGCTTACTTTGACTCGTTGTAAGAGAGTGATCATTCATGATATAACAGTTCAATATTTCTTCTTTTCTAGGCACTCTGAAGTACCCCCACAGCTGCACTCTGACTGAGAGGACACACGAGGGAGTGCTACAGGACATGAAAGCAGCAGTGATGACTGGTACCACAAAGCATGGAATGTATGGGCCGAGCCCCATTGCACGACTCCAAGGATTTGACTTGGTTTGGAGCGTAGTGCCGGACTACATGCATTGTCTACTTGAAGGTGTCACTAAACAGCTGACAGAGGCGTGGTTCTCGAGTACCGGTGCTGCATTCTACATTGGAAACCAGGTGACCGCCGTAGATTGTAGGCTTGCAAGGATATGTCCCCCGAATCTTTTTGCGCGCTCAACACGATCAATCAAAGAACGAGCTCTGTGGAAGGCTAAAGAATGGAGGTATTGGCTGGTCTATTATGCTATGCCTTGCCTTCATAGCATACTACCGCGCGAGTACTTCGTGCACCTCACACTCTTGTGTCAGGCAACATTTCTGCTCGTGCAGAAGACTGTTAGCAGGGCCGACATCAGAGCTGCTGAAGCACTTTTAACGCGTTTTCTTCAACATGTATCTGCCCTTTATGGTGAAGCTGCAGAAACATCAAACATGCATCTGCTTATGCATTTGCCAAAATCTGTGATGCAGCTTGGTCCCTTGTGGGCTACATCAATGTTCCCGTTTGAGAGTGCAAATGGTGTGCTCCTGCACCTTGTCACCGGTGCGAAAGGTGTCCCTCTGCAGGTTTCCGAGAGATGGGTTATGAAGCAGACGCTGTTAAGACACGGTGATGTGACCCACCTCCCAGCTAGCTTTGACCAACTGTTTCGGACGTTTATGAAGATTCGGGATGTTCCTGAGGACGGTGTTTTGGGCGTTCCACAGGCAGGCTCAATGACAGCTGCTGTGCATGGTCTTCTTGAGTGTCACTTTGGCCAGGTACCCACTCTTGAAAGGCATTTGAGAGCAAGGGTACAGGGCTTTGAAGTCCACAGCTGCGAGTACACGCGCCCCAAGAAGACGTGCACACAGTTTGTAAAGATGCGAGATGGCACATACTGCGAAATTCAGACTATTTACAGAAACACATCAAGCAGTGCCATTCTTTTTGTTTGTAAAAGTCTCATTATTGAAGACTTTGGAAATGGTAGTGCCAAGTACTTGCACAAGTGTATTGTGCCTCCCAATGAGGAGAGTTTAGTTTTGTTCTCATCGAACGAGCTTGAAGGTATCTGCGTCTTCATTGACCATGAACATGGACCTTATTTGTGTGATATGCCTAACTTCTACGAGAAAGAGTAAATATAGACCGAGTAAATCTACTACATTCTAAGTTACTGGTTCAAGGATTCCTTGTTATGAAGAATGCATGAGCAAGGTACCAGCTAGCATGAGTGCTTCACTTCGAAGGATGCCCCCATTGAATGCTAGCACTTGAGGTAAGCAAGCTAGTTCTTCTGTTGTTCTTATCAAGGAACCCTTGAAGCAGCAATTTGGAAAGTGGTGGATTTATAAATGCTTGCTGCTTTAAAGAAGCCTCGAAGTGGCACCAGGCATTTTGCCAAAACTTGGCCTTGTCAGAAGCTAAGCCTGTTACCAAAATGTTGGGCACCACTCTAAGCCTTCCAGGACATTGCTTTTTAAATTCTTGCTGCCAGCCCCCCATACCCGTCTACACTTCACCTCGGCCTATGGTGAAGTGAAGGTCAAAGGTAAAGGCTGCCACGTCCAGTCATGACCCACATAAAAACCATGTGGTATTTGGCTTCGAGGATCACTGACAGGGATGGGCAAACATGATTTGAATTGAATAGCATTGTGTCATTTGTGCATTTGGCAGTGCAAAGAAAGCCACAACATACTGCACTGGCTTTCTTTGCAGTATGAAAAAATAGGAAAGACACCGGGCTGTTTAATTCAAAGAATTATTTGCCCATTCCTAATTGATGACGTACAGACCAATACATTGTTTATATAAGTGACTCGTGATTTAACCCGCAGTTCTGAGCTTTTGCCTTCAGTCCATTGTTGGGTGAGGCGAAGTGCAGTGCACACAAAACAATGATTAGCACAAATAGCTGATTGGCAGGCTTTCCTCTTGTTCTCTGAAAATTGAAGCTGTCATCGAAACAACTGCTGTGTAAAATGACTTTTTGTGGAGCAGTCATTAAAGTCATTTTGGCGTTCATTAGAACCCTGTCGAGTAAAATGTGAAAAAAAGCGGCAGTGTCATGTTTGTACTAAATGTGCAATGCGCGAGGGTTGCGATTCACCATATTTGTTGTCAGTTCAGCTTCTCACTTGTTCAGTTGTTGTAGTTCATATATAGTTTTTATCAAATGGTCGCTTTGCCTGTTTTGTTGGGGGTCCTGAGAAAGGGACTTCAACGTTTAGGTGTAGAAATTGGTGTTGTGGGAAATTAAATGTGGTCGTGGGTCCCTGTCTTCCTGATGTAGTATGTAGGATGTCGGTGAATTGAGGAACGGGGTGTTCTTTGTGGAGTCGGGACCACTCCTCCAGTGTTAAGAGTCCTTCCTCTCGAAGAGGCTTGGTTGCCGTTTCTTCAGCCATGTCAGGCCTGTACAACCCCAGATGAAGGGGCTTAGTGTGGCTGTGTTGTTCTTGGTGTAGGCATTGCACCTGCATGGTGCCCTCAATATCGACAGGTCTGAAGCTCGATTGGTTGGTCGGTGTGAATGAACATAGTCGATTATAATTCATGTTTAGAGCAAAAATAGACTCTGCTTGTGCTGTAAACATGTTTCATTTTCAGCACGCTGCCTTAAGCTTGTATAAAGCTCCAATTATTGACCCCTTCCACAGTTTACAAGACTTCCTGTGTAACAATAGTTGTGCCTATATGATGGGGAGTGTTATCGAGCATTCTCTTGTGCTTTTATTGAATGCCTTTCAGTGCTCTTAGCTCTGTATTTCATGACTGATTGAATAAAACTGTTTGCTGTGCTTGTGCATTCAGCACCATTTCTGCATTTCTTCGTGGTCTGTGTGAGTGCACGCAATATGGTCTCAGTCAGCAAAGGATGGGGGGGACCGGTGGCCGAGTGGTCAAGCGCGCACCAGCTCGGAGCACGTGGAGCGAAAGCTCGCGCTGCAGAACCCAGGGATCCTGGGTTCGAGCCGCACCCCTGCCCGTTTCGATCTGGATGAGCATCGTACCGGCGTGCGGTCGTGTATCACTACTGCGTGATGCACGTTAAAGACCCCAGGCTAGCGGCTGTATCGCACTGGCTAAATTTCTCATCTACAGCTGGGAGACTCGTCGCCCCTGTGAGGCAGACCAAGTTTTAGGCTGTATAAACACACACACAACCCAATTTGTTTTCAGCAAAGGATGATATCAATGAGAAAACGGTGCAAACGAAACGACGGACCAGTAGAAGAGTACACACAGACAAGGTGCTGTATCAATCTGTCTGGATCCCCTTGAATCAGTGTAAAGTAAGTGTAAGAATGCTGCAGTGAATTATGTCCTTACAAATGCTTTGTATCAGGTGTGGCCAGACAAAGTACTCAAGAGCCGCAAACAGAATTAGCCAGGGGATTTTGGGTAAAGGGCACTGACTAAAGATAAGATGGAGATTCCCATCTTGGCTGCAAACAGGTGTCTGCCCCGCACCTGGGTTCTCAATTATCGTCGGGTTAGCATATGGCTCCAGCAAACGACACATCACTCATGTGTAAGCATATCCAGGCATATATTTATGATCACGCGAGCCCGCGGGTTGCTTTTGCTGCATCTGCCATGCTCTGCAGCAATTGCGACGAGAGTTCGTGTGATCAGACGACCGGTGGACTAACGCCATTGGCCCGTGGTCTGGTCTCCTCGCCGCATGTAAGGCTGGAGGCGCTTGCACGCGTCGGACGTCGAGTTCGGTTCGAGCGCATGACCGCTAGCGGTCGTCAGAGGAACGGCCGTGCAGCGTACAGCCGTACGCTGCATGGCCGGGAGTGGGGAGCGTACGCGCGGCGACGAGTTCTCGCGGTGCGTCGAGCGGCATGCACAACGAACGTATAATAGAATAGTAACAAAAATGTTTCCGCACAAGCCCGTGTAGCATTCTCAACTTGGTGAAATCAGACGACCGATGGGCACACGCGCGGCATCATCTGATAAACAGCTCGAGGAATGCGAGTGAATATTTGTACGGTCAGATTTTTATTGCTGCTCTCTTATCAAACATGGTGCGCCGTGCACCGCTCGTGTTACATAGAATAGCAGTAATAAAAGTCTGACGGTACACACATACGATCGGCATGCATTCTCCAAATATTTTTTCCCGTCGCCAACAATAAGTAGCTATGTTCTAATTTTCTGAAATGTGTTTTCTCCGCCTAAGTCGCGGCCCCACAGACGTCTCAGGAAGCCTGAAGGTTTTTTCGACCCGATTAGAAAAGCTCTTGACAGGGTCTCAGACATTTCAAGGCATTGTAAAGGGCACTTTAGACATTTCAGGAGAGCCTCTGACGGGGCCAACGAATCCACCAGAAAATATCGGCACATCCTTCAAACATCTCAGGAATTCCTTAAGTCCCCTTCACACCCTTCGAAAAATTCCTGAAGTCCCCTCAGAGCGATTTTCAATAGGGGAACTACCGGAGGATAATAAAAAGAAAGTATGAGGCTTCCTATATATTAATTTGAAGTTTCATTTATTTCTGCATGGTTCCGGGTGCGACAACGGCATTATATGAGTAGTTTGTTACAGATGCTGGGACATATGGAACGAGCATTTGAACGTTGTCTCAAGGAGGAAGAAAGCTTCGGACACTTCGTGGTTCCCAACCAGTTATACAGCCTGTTGAGTGCCAACATTTTTCAAAGCTTTATTTCACATTTTCATCTTGCTTGCGTGAGAAGCTTTGAATATGTAAAAATGAAGCTAATGATTGCTGGGGGCCACCTAAGTGGCTTATGTTTCTTAACTCAGTGAACAACTTTACTTTCAATGAAGAGCTGATCCAACCTGGCATGTTGAATGTGAAATTATGTGGGTCAATGTGTAAACTTGTTAAGATATATGTTAGTGATAATTCCCAAGAAGTGATAGTGATAAAATTAGTGATAAAGCCAATTTCCAAGAAGGTGTGCCGCGCCGCATGTAATATTGAAGTGATGAGATCGTGCGCACATAACAGAGGTGCTGGCGATCTGAAACTGGAGCTTGTGGGCGAGGTTGACGAAGTGATTTTGTCAATGTTTTATTTTTGAGCGTATGCAAATTCAGTGCTGAACTTAATTCTGTTTTAGCATCTGTGCAATAAATATGCCTCGAAATATTTCGGTCGCAGGTCTGGATTCCTTACTGGACGGCGGGACGCCTTGAAACAGAAGAACAACGCACACACACGAATATGCACCTTATACAGCTGAAAGCGAAATTGCACATCGTATGTTACGTTAGGGACTTTTAACGAACTGTTACCGTGTTCCGCGTACCGCACTATCGGAGCCTTTGAAACATGCTTTAAAGGCGCGCACCCGGAGTGATACCGTGACAGCGGGGCGCGCACTTAAAAGCATGCTTCAAAGGCTCCGATAGTGCGGTACGTGGAACACGGTTTGTTAAAATTCCCTGTTATTACACTACCGGGACCAGGCGTGACGCTCAGGAGCCTCGATCCAGGCTCCAGCACGACCCAGAAGCGATCCCCCCCCCCGATACGAGAACCACCCTACAAAAATAGAGGAGCGCCATGTTGGATTATTTACGGCTTGGCTTAGAAACGGCTTCAAAGTAGGCTACTACGTCCCAAACGTGTATGCAGAAGTCGTTTTGAAAAGTGAGCCAGATATTTTATTAATAGCATGGTTAGCTCCTAATATAATTTTATAATTTACCGAAGATAAAATGATAAGTTGATTCGTTCAGGTGATGAGAGCCTCCCACCACGGACGAGGAATTCGGCGCTACTGTACAAAACTCTACTCCATTGGCCCTATGGGGAATGTCCGGGGGTTGGTATGGCAGTGCGAAGTGGTTCCCGTTCTAAACTGAACTTTACCCCGTGTTTCTGTCGTTTGTGGCCAATGAAGTGTCATGCCGAATTAGTGTCTAATCGCGCAGCAAATGCAATGAGAGCCGCTCTGGCTGCCCGCTGCATATAACCTAGCCAGAGCATACTTTAGTGGCGCCCTCTCGCGCCGTCGACACGGAGTGCGGCAGCCGTGACCGCTCGCTGAGCTCACTACCCCTCCTCTAGTTCACGGTCATTCAAGCAACCAAGGACGCCATGAGGGAGGTAATCTTTTTCTTGTTTTTGTAATTTTCATTTGCCTATACCTTTTGAAATAAAGCGAAATTTGAGAAAAGGAAAGTTTAATTAAGTTACTACGTTCAGTGCGCTCAGGTTCGGTGCAAATTAAAAAACAGTAAAAAAGTCTTTGCAGGTT